ACACGCAGCAGTGCCTGGCCCGGGTTCAGGGGCCTTGGGTAGACCTTGGCTCCTCTGCTGTCCCATCACAGGGGAGGGGGAGGTCCAGGAGGGGGAGGACCCAACCTTACCTGGATGTCCTATGTCTTATATATTCTGGAAGTTGTGCAAATGCAGGGATGGGCATAGATATTCTGCTGGGGTGGGGCTGGGTTGGTGCCCTCGGACTCCGTGAGGCTCTGTAATGCTGCTGCTTTGGGCCCTGGCAGGATGGGCTGGGGTCTCCATGCCCTGGGTGGCAATTTGACAACAGAGGTGCTTATTGGGGCCAGTGGGGGAGCTGGCTCCCTGGAGGGCTAAGCCCAACCAGCCATTCCTCCCCATCCCTGCATATTTCTCTCCTCCTGCTCCCTCACATCTTCACACAAACATGCACATAGGACCTTGGGGGGTGGACAAGTCAGGGAGTGTGGGTATGGACCCCATTTCCGCATTCCTGTGGCAACCTGCCCCCCAATTTTATTTGCACCTTATGCACTTCCACCGACGACAATCCACGCAAACACACACTTAGGGCCTTGGGAGTGAGCACATTCAAGGTCAGGTGGGGCCTTTGACTCCACCCCTCTCCTGGGACTTCTTTTGATTATATAGATCTTCGTCTCCCCTCCCCCTGCCACACCTGGTGTGGGGTGTGGTGCCTTGGTCTGCCTGAGTGTTCGTGGCTGTGCCAGAGCGTCGGTACCGACACCCGCCGTAAATCGGACATTTAACCAAATTGTGACGTTTACCCTCTTGCAATTTAACATTCCCCTCACCCCCATCCTAACCTTAACCAGCTTGCGCGTGCAAAGCTCTGATGGTTGACGCGCTCCAGACATCTGCGTCCTGAGCACGGTCATAGTAATATTATCAAATTAGGTGTCACCACCTCAAAAACAAATTTAACACGCGATGCTTCATGTCGGCTCATTTCCTTTTATGTTTTTTGTTTTTTTTATTCTTTTGTTTGTGCCTGATGCCTTTCGCTGCTGTGGATCGGGGCGCATCACCTGGTTTGTCCTCGATGACACAATGTGGCCGGCAAGCAGCGAGCACTCCGCTGTTTTTGCGGTTGGTAGATCTTTTAGAACTGCAGTTCAAAGGTAACTCATAAGGTGAATATATATGAACCCAGGTAGGGTTGTCACGGTAACCGGTATAGCGGTAAACCCCGGTAAAAAAGTTGACAATAAAAATAACCGTCCAGTTTTTAAAAAAACTATATTATCTCGGTGGGTTTACCGTGGCCGCGGTTTCGGCGCGGTGACCCTTACCAGCCACCGTCGCTTCAGCTGAAGTTCCCGCGGCGCGCACACGCACTTTTTAGTTTGCAACGGCACCAAAACTTTGAAGCTGGAATAATGGCCGAAGGAGGAGACGGCAGCGCCCAGGACATCCATCAGCCCTCAAAGAAGACTAATTCGGAAGTATGGGCATATTTTGGATTTCTGAAAAATGCTGAGGGACAGTTAATAGAAGACTGCTATCCCGTTTGCAGAACGTGCAGGAAACAAGTGTCTGCAAAAGGCAGCAACACTTCGAATCTAATGGCACATCTGCGTGACCATCACCCACGTCTCTACAGCCAGTGCAAGGTAAGTTAGCATTAGCGTTTTAGCTTAAATGCATGACGTGAGGACTTTTGGCTGAGGGAGAATGCAACGAGTCACTATATACTGCAGCCGCAGCGTCCTCTGCCAGCATTTACACCGTGTCACGGACACCCTGTTGCTGGATGAAGCATCTTATTTGTTGATGATGAAGAGAAATATACAATTAGTTCCTTGTCATTGATTTGTTTACTTATTCAATGCCATTTATACTTGAACATTTGGATTTGATTACATAGTGTAGTAGTTATTTTAGTAATTTGTTTAAAGTGGCTATTTATTTTAAATACATATTTTTTTAAGGTTGACTTGTACAGCGCTCAAGTCAAGTGTGGACTGGAGTTTTAGATTTTCATTTTGATAATGAAGAAAACAAGTATATGAGAAAACAAGTGGTGTTTCTTTGATTTGTTTACATATTGTTTATGTTTTGAATGTTTGGATTTGTATAATTTAAACCTGCACTGACTACTGTAACATGTTCCAGAAAAAGAAGCTATTTGTTCCTTTACTTGTGAAAAGTTGCACTTTTGCTAAGGCTTTGTGTTATTTTAGGTTTAATAAACACTGTTAAACCTTTTCAGAACTATTTCAGTTTGTGTAGAACAGGACTATCAATGCTTTCTGAACATATGCAACACCGTTTAAAAAATACCGCGATAATACCGAAAACCGTGATAATTTTGGTCACAATAACCGTGAGGTTAAATTTTCATACCGTGACAACCCTAAACCCAGGTAGCAGTTTTTCTTTAGGATTGAGAGGAGATGCAGGAAGATAATAAACAGGCAGGACAGAAAAATAGTCAAATAAAAACAAGTTTGTTTTTGTACCTGGTGGTTGCAACAAACAGACACCATTGAAGGTAATCAGAAGTGAGGAACAGAAAATGAAATAATTATTTTAATGTTTAGAGCAGCAGGAACTCCGAGAGGCTGCAGGCGCATCAGTGAGTTTGCGGCCGCTGCGCAGGGGGAGGGGGGAGAGGGCTGAAGGAGAAACTACCGTTGTTAAAAGAAATGTGTTTAACTTTGAAAATGTGGGCGCAATTTTAATTGTCAAAAACTCCAGCGAACCATTAGTTCATTTTGCATTCAAATAGAAATTGAGGCTTGCCTCTAATTCTGGTCCTCCTTCCAATAAAGGCCTGGAGCTTGATGAGCCTGAGTCAAATACAGACCCGGGCCTGTATTAGAGGATTTACGGTATTATTACTATTATAATTATCATCATCATCATCATTATTATTATTATTATTATTTCTTGTGGCAGAAGCTGGTGTGGTCCACCACAGAGAAGCTGCTCTAGCATGATGACTTTAATTATTCTACAAGTTATTGTTCAGCCTTCTGAGACAAACTCACCTCACACCGTCCAGAGTTTGTTCTTTAAAGCTTCTATTAAATCCACCGTGTTGACGTATTTAACAAGTTTCCTCTACGCTGCAGGAGTTAAAGTCTACATTATGGAGTAAAAGTTCGGCAGACGTGTTTGTTTATTTCTGGGTGGGGGAGGGGGGACTCGTGCTGCACACAGACAGCTGGTGTGATCAGCTCTGGAAAGCATTGATCACAATTTGCAGATCACGTTTATTTTTCACGGAGATCGGCCGCGAATTCCTCTTCTGGTCGACATTCTGGAATCGAAATAAAAAATGTTGAGCAATTCCGGGAAAAACTAACAGTTGGATCCGGTTCCAATCAATGCTCAACCCTATCGACGAGTGCTCAGATCCAAGTATTGGTATTGTATCGGTTTGGAAAAAAGCGGTATCGTTGCATCCCTAGTTTTAGTTGTGCTGCTTTCCAGTGGAGCTCTCTGAAGTGGTTTACAGAAACACAGCTTCTCTTTGAATTGATTTTGTTGTCGCTTTACCACATTTCTCTCAATAAAAATGTTAGAAAAACCTCGGTTAGCTTGCGTTAGCATGTAGCTAATATCTTGCTAATCTTCGACCGAGGCGGACCATTACCTCAGCCAGGGTGCCCAGCTGAATAACTCATAAGTGACCATCACTTGTAAAGCATCTTTCAGAGTCGGAGGAGCCCAAAGTGCTTTACAGTGAATCATTAATCTGTTCACATGCTGGTGGTGATGGGCTGCATCCTAGCCACAGCTGCCACTGGTGAGGCTGCCATGCACAGTCCCTCCAACCACCACCAGCAGACAGGGAAGCTGAAGTGTCTTGCCCAAGGACACGACTAGCCTGACTGCAGGCGCCTGGGTTTGAACCTGCAACCCACCATTTACAGGGCAAACTCCTTACTCTGAGCCACTGTTTTAAATGGCTTTCCTCATTTGAAAGCTAGAAAATGAACTAAGAAATACCTCTACATACAAGTGACCTTCAGACAGTGAGAACCAGCTGTTACATGGTTATGGCTTTGACCTCTCCCAGTAAAACCTTTCCCATCCCTTCCAGGTGTGGACCAGTCATCCGGTCCAGACCCTCCTGAGCTCCGTCCTCTTTGTAGTCTGCAACGAGAACCTGGTTTTGTCTTTGTGGTCGTCAAGTGGAAGCTTTTTTCCTGCAGCCGTCGTCTGAGACAGGAGGGGTGATTTATGCTGCAGAGGGGGAACGGGGTGATCCCACCGTTCGTTTTGGTCTCCTGAGCTGGACCCTGAGTCCAGGATTAGTGATCAAACAAACGGGTGGGGGGTCAAAGGGAAACACTAACTCGGTCTGCCCAGGTGGCGGGGCTGAAAGGAGATCCATGGTGCAGGCGGGTCAAACTTGGGCTGAGTGTGTGCTCCTGACTTTTACAGGGCGTGAACTCCGTCTAGTTGGATCTGAACCGTGACCGATTGGATGTCAGGCTCTGGGGGGTGACCTTTGACATTTTTACAACATGTGCTTCTCTGATTTTCCCTCAACCACATTTCGTCGCCGCGTTTCTCTGTTTACCACCCAGAGCCAAGGAGGATGACGTTCTGTCTGTTTTCGATGTTTACACATCTTCTTTACAACTTTTGTTTAACTGCTCATAATTATTAGTCACTAATTACATTATACTAATATGTAATTAATATAATCTACTTCCATCAAAAGGAAATATAGTGAATAAAGGTTGTTGCTGGATTTACACTGGAATTAAAATATTATGGTATTGTGTGCTTCTAATGAGCCTTTTTCCCATTAAACCTGTTCAGCCATGCTCTTTATTCATAATGTAAAAATAAATGCGTCAGCTTGTAGTTAGAGCTGTATCTAAAATTAGTATAATGCAATTATATTCATGTGCACCCAATAAAATGCATAAATATAAAATTTACCAGTTTAAAATGAACACATTTTGAAACAAATACTAAAGAAAATCACATTCTCTGCCTCAAACGTTGATCAATGAGACAAAAGCACACTGAAACCCTTCTTCTTACAATCAATAAATATGTTTATTGTACAGTTCCTTAGGGTGTCTCCAGGTCAGGTGTTTAAATCAGGGGCCAGCGGGTCTCACATGTAGGTGGGACCTTCGTCAGCCTCTGAGAGGAACGGCAGAGAGGTCTGAGCTCCTGGGAGGTTTTCACACTGCAGGTAGCTGAAAACCACCTGGACCTGAGAGGAGACACACAGAGACGTCAGAAAGTGTGTGAGGTGGAGTTTTATCTTTGTCCTTGGTCTAGTTGTGTGCAGAAGCTCCAAGCTACTGTTTCACTCAATTTCTAAACAACTTCAGGAATGTGTTTTATCTGTTTGATGCTATAGTTTCATTTTTGAGGTGTTCACTGTAATATAACAAGTTCTGTCTCTGAAATTCTAGGAATCTTATTTTTCTACCTGTATCACCACCTCCTGAGAGATGTCCACCTTGGGTCCATGGTGTCCCTGTCCAGCCGCTGGTGGACGTAAAAGGCTTGGACCAAAAACCGTAGCCAGGTTTAACAAGGACATCTTGTTGAGTTCTTCTCTCTGTGCAACTCTGCACAACAAAACAAACAAATAAACAATCACAAGGAGATGAGGTGTGATTTGAAAGCAGAAGGGATGGTGTGCTGTTAGCATCAGACCGTTGGAGGTGACGCAGCAGGAAGAGGAAGGTGTGGCGCTTGACTTCAGGACAGGACTTCAGCAGGGACAACATGGACACCAGACGTGCGTTTAGGTCCTGGATATCTGCAGGAGAGAGGATCCATACATGTTTCTCAGTGAATTTCGTCTTTAATAATTCTCTGACCACGCCTCGACTGCTTTTAATATTTCTGCATTTGTACCCCAAGCTAGAGGGCAAGCCCCTCATTAAACAAGGTTCATTTCTTCTGCCACTTCTGCATTACTCATCTATCTAACCTGGGCGCTGGCTTCCTCAAATCGCCACCCCTTTGTCTCCCATGATGATGTGGATGGGTTGTTGCATTCATTCTATTTGACCTGTTCAGCTGCGTTAGATTCCTTTGCACTCAAAAAGCCTAAACACAATGAAACCACCTCAGACCCTTGGTAGAATGAAGAAACACTGTAGGGTGCTAGAGCGTAGATGGAAGAAAGATAGGTCCCGTATCTCATCAGCTTTTTGATGACTCCCTCTCCCTATATCAAAGGACAGTCATATCTGATAGGAAAAAGTCTTTTTCATGCATCATCTCACTGCAGAAAGGTGATCAGTCAAAATTATATAGCAGCATCGATTCCATCCTGTTGCTCACTATATCTGACGGTATCACACCCTCTACCTCTCTGTGCATCGAACTCCTCAAGGTTCAGGACGTCATGGATGGTCTCTTACCCCTTGGACCTGCTGGCCATGCTGAACCACTTGACCCCCCAACTTTATCTCACTCCTGTCTCACTCAGCGACCTTGAAAATCTCATTAGATCCATGAAATTGGCTAGTTCTCCGGAGGGCTGTCTCTCTCTGAAATTGGTATGTGAAGTCCTTCCTATCTTGAGCCTTGCCATTCCGAATATTTTCAGCACTAGCCTAACTACCAGAGTGTTGCCTGCAGTCTCCAAAAAAAAAAAAAAAAAACGGCTGTCCAGACGATTATTTAAAATCGTGCTCGACTCTTCCGACTATGCTAACTTTTACACTTAGAGTCCACAAAAATTCCTAAAGTTTACTTTAAATAACAGTTTTAATTCTGGTTTCACCAACATTCCTCATTTTGGAATCTTAAGTGAATTTTTATAGAATTTAGACGTGAAATAAAAGGTGACCATGTGATGGCACTGTTACCCTCTGGGACGCCTGAACGTCAGCAGCTTTGATTTGATCATTAAATGTAAGAAACAGCTGGTTAATATCAATGTCAAAATACGTGTATGTGATAATAAAGTGTTTCATGTTAATATCAAAATAAGGAACTGCAGTATATCAAATGTATGGATTTATTATAGATTTCAAAGTTAAAAATATAGTGATATCAATTTACATCCAATATTACATGATATATAATGATTTTATTCTGATTTTAAATATTTACCATGATTCACTGATTAAGAACCAATATAAAGAATTATTTTTCTATCACATATTAAATATATTGATTTAACACCAACATCGACATAAATATACTTGATTCAAAAATTAAGGAGCTTGGTTTTTAGGAGACTAATTCATTGTTGTAAAAATGCTTCTTTAGCTGTATTATTTTCCACTGACATTTACATAGTTTTTAGGAAAATTTACTTTTGACAGTCAGTTACATTTTTGTGAAAACCTTCATATTATGAGTGAAAATAAATTAGATGCATTTAGTTTGTCATGTTCGGGATGTTTTTATCTTACCCAGAGCTTTGGCCAGAGTCTGAAACATCTCAGAGGGTATCAGAGGCTCCGGCAGCTCTCTGAAATAAAGTTTGAGGAGACCACAGACGGCGTTCACCTCAGCACCTCTCAGTCTGGTTACAGCTTCCCTCAGATCTGAGCACACAGATAATTAGTCATTATCAGTCTGTCATGTTTTGGTGTCAACTTGCTTCCTTTGCAGCAAAGAAAGAGTATGCAGAGCAATAATTTGTAGTAGCAGCTGCTTATGGGTGGATTTTGTCGGCCACAAAGGATTTTGTCTCTAAGACAAAAAGTAATTAATTGCAAGAAAGGCAGTGCTTCTGGATCGTTGTGTACAAAAATTTCAGTGGATTCTACTAAAAGGTGGCGCACACTAAAATCAAGAACAAGAAACATGCTCAGATCAGGATGTATCCAACTGTGCTCATTTTATTTTGTTCATTATTTGTTTAACCAGGAAGTTTCCACTGAGATTAAAAACGTCATTTTCAAGGGAGTCCGGGCCAAGAGGCAGCTAAAGTTAGTCACAAAATTGTCTAAAGAATGGACCCAAAGACGTTTCCTTTGTATATTAAAAGGAACTATGCAGTTATGGCTTGCTTTTAGCACCCCCTAGTGCCCGTTTGTAGAACTGAAAGCAAAACCTATCCTTGCTGTGTGTGCGTTCGTATTTTTAACACCTTAACTCATTCGCTGCCAGCGTTTCTCACCATTTTTAAGGTTTTTAAGAGTCACAGAATGTTGCGCGCTAGGATTATGTCGATGCCAAAACAACCAAAACAAAGCGGAGACTCACCTCTTAAATCAGAAATAATCCGCGTGTTTCAAGCGTTATCCGTTCTTTCATAATCCGTTGTTGAACTGTGATCGGCGGAAGCTTTTCCGGTTCGCGCCTCACTTTTTTTTTACAGGAACGTCCCAAAACGATCTCCAAACACGTGGGTGTTCTGCTTCCTGATCATGGGACGTGTGACGTATGCGGATGAAGATCGGCTTTAGAGCTGAGATGTTTGTTCTCACGATGCGGGGGCTCGTTCCGACCCCCACACAGTGACGACTTTAGTCGTCAGTGGCAGTGAATGAGTTAATTCAACAACTGAAATGTCTCTCCAGCCTTCGCCAGTGTCTAAAGTGACTTATCACTAAATTAAATAAATCTGCTGTGTTCATGAAAGCATGCTGGAAGCAGACTGCAGCTCCAGGTATGCCAGCTAAATTTTTTAGAAGTCCCAACAGAACAGCTCGCCAGTCTGAAGTTGCAAGTGAAATATTCTGGCACAGGGGGTGATGGGGTTGGGTGGCTTTCATTAACCCTGTAAAGGGTCATTTTAGCACACTCTGGCTCAAGAAATGTTTAAAAACATGAAAGACTCCAAGACTCAAAACTGAAGAAGAGTATGCAAACTTTCATTTGGACAGGTAAATACTAAGCAGATTCATCTATTTTTGAGAGTTGGAGGCATAATTTTATTTAAATGAAAAGAAGTAAAAGGCGAGTTGTTGTCAAATTTCAAAAATTCTTTCCCCTTTCCTTAACGATGCTTCGGACCAAATCTTTAACATGGAACTAAGAATAAAATAAATTCAACTCAGCACATGATTCTGGTGGAAAAGTGCCAGAGAATGGGTTAAGTGGAAACCTTATCTATAGCGATCTAACTTCTCTGTAGTTTAACCAGCAAAAACCCTAACCCTAACATCATCACCAAGATACGATGATGTTTGGAGGTGTGTAGACTTCATGAGTATCAAGGGGAGTTATAATAATATAATAATAGAACATGAGTTTACAACCCACAACAGGCCAGCTATGGCTCCAACCATGCTGTTCAGTGTAGGATTTGGGTTACACGAGGCTACCTTGACACAAAGCTGGTCTGCCTCTATCGTGTGGTCCACAGCTGTATGATATGCAGCACTATTGAAACATTTGTAGTTTTGCATGCACCAGTATTTTGTGCGTACACACCTTTCATACCTGAAGCCCTAGGTGGTTACTGTTTCCGGTGTCCTCATCAGTCTGCTCCTTTCTGTGCAACAACTACAAAAAGCTGTGTGTTTTCTTACTGCTGTTGAATGCAGCTCTGAGCATGTTGATGTCAGTGGCGGTTCCTGGAATCCTGTAGATCCCCACCTCGTCCATGCCCCTCCCCTCCACCTCCTCTACGCAGCATCTCACGACATGAGGAACCACCACCCTCTCCTGTCTGGCAAAAGAACGGAGAGTGTCGTTAGCTTCAGCTCACGAACGTGTTTAGTCATTCCGCACGTCTCTGCTCCTTCCACACTTCTGCTTCGCCCACTCTCCCACAGAACTAACCACTTCTGTTTTGAGAACCAATAATGTAAAGCAGAACACAAAGGAAATAAAACTCCCACGATGGGGGTGGGGGGTGGGGGGGGGGTGGGGCAAGATGCAGAACACCAGACGACACGAGGCAGGAGCGATTTGTAAAAGTAAACTCCCTTTTATTAGGATTGGGAACAAAGAAATCCAAAAGGGCAGGAAGCCAAACCTGATGTCTAAACTGAAAGACAAAAACCAAAAGCTTACTCATGAGCAGAGACCTAGTGGGGGGACAAACAACGCTGACAAACATCAATGGACCCACAAAACAGTGAGACGCAGACAGGGTTATGTACACAGGGACTGGGTGATTGGGAGACGAGGAGCAGGTGCGTGGGGAGAGAGAACTGAGGGGAGACTGTTGAATTTATTTCACAGTTTCCATTGGTTCACTCTATTCATTGTTTTACATATTTGTCCTGTATCAGAATGTTTCACCTTTTTTGTAATTTGTATTTTTAATTTGAATTGCTTTTATTTTTGATTTATTCAATATATTTACCTTCTACTGTACCATGTTCAGCGCCTTGGGCTTCCTGACAGGGTTGCGGAAGGTGCTTTATAAATAAAGCTTTGATTGATTGAATGAGATCAATTAACTAAATGCGAAGGGAAAAGCAGGCAGAGGGGATAAACCCTAACATATGAGTCTCTAAAGAAATGAACCTAAAAGACTACACAGGAGAACCAAAGAATAATTAATGACCTGAGAAGTGAGGGAGACTAATTAACAATTGGGGAAGGAAAACACCCACTAAAGGAGACGAATAAAATGAAAAGCTGAACCTATGAAAAACTACAGAGGGGTGACTAAGGGAGACCTGAGGGAGACCGGGAGGGAGCTGGGGGCAGAGAGGGGCACAGGAAGCTTGGGTACACATGAGGGGGATCCTAGAGGGACACCTGGAGGGGTTGGGGAACACAAGGAGAACATGAGGAGGGATGCAGACAAGGAGACACACGAGGAACACAATGAGACACATAAGGGGAACCTAGAGAGGGATAGAGAGCACAAGGATACACATGAGGGAGACGCAGAACACAGACCATGACAAAAACTCTCAACTGAGCTGCAGCTTTCAGTTTCAGGCAGGACTTACAGCGCCACTCTTTCAATGGGGACACAGAAAACGGGTGGTTGTTGAGCAGCGGGGCTCGGCGGTTGAAGATAATGATGGATGTACTTCAAGGAGAGAATCACCTCCACTTGACCAAGCTGCAGAGTCTGTCTTCTCCATCGATTAGTTAATTGTTTACTCTCTAGCTGCAGGATTGGAAAAATACACTTGTTAAGCCCTATACATTTATAAATTTCAGTTTGACCCAAATTTAGCAGATTTTCTTGCAATTTAGAGTTCCTTGCAGTTTACCAGAAAACAAAATAAAGTTTATTTGGTTTTCTAATGACACCAAAGTTTAAGCTGTGTGAACATGAAAGAAAAAGGAAGTGGGCTAAACGACAGTGTGGGCTCCTTGCATGAGCTGAACTTTATTTCATTCAGTTTAAAAGCTCTTTTTGTTCTTGTTACAGCAAGATGTTCCCCAAATCATTCACTTGTCCTCCTGCATGATTCGTTTTTTAAACAAAATGTCTTACATTTGTGTCGAAGATGTTCAGCCTGTAAGGACTTTATTTTTCATGATTAGGAAACGGCTTTCAACGTAGTGTCTTCTTTTATTTTCTTTGAATCAATGTCAATAAGTAAGATTGTATTAACTGTGTCCTGGAAGATAAATACTGTGTATAGTGCTTCACACAAAATCAAGAGTTTCTATTAATCTGGCAAAATTCTTTCAAGAACCTCAAGTTGCCAACACACATTTAACAGAATTAAATTATCGTTGCACTACCTTAAGCTTAGAAACATCTTGAGGCTTCACAGATGAATAAGATTGATCATCTGCATAAAACTTTAAGAGATGTCCTTTAAAGTACTCAAAATGTGCTGACATGGAGGCTGGACCAATAGAAACAACAAGGGCCTGAAAACAGAACCTTGCGGCACACCTTAGGCTCAAGAAGCTAAAGGTCTTTTTATAGAAGCAACCACCGAAAGAGCTTATTCTAGTAAATACCAATAAACCACTCAGTAGCCACAGCCTGATATACCCACCAAGGAGCATAATTCTAGCAGTCAGTGGTTTCTAAAGCTAAAGTATCAGCATCAGTAAAACAAAACGTTCTCCTATTGACAACTTACTTTAAGTTGTCAGAAGACCATACAAACTCTGATGGCTAGTTCAGTCAAAAAAATTATGAGTACAACTAACCTAGAGTGTTAGATCAGGTCTTTTTGGATCTTTCTGTCTAAAGATTGCAAATAAATATGATCTTATCTGTTGTAGGCAATTGTTTGAATTACCCCAATGTGGGGAAACAGATCGTTCTGAATAGTATATTGTAAATGAGCTGTATATGTATTGTGCCTTCTTAGGGTTCTACAACCCCTCCAGGCGCTTCACAACACAGTCAGTCATTCACCACTGCACACACACTTTCACACACTGGTGGTGATGAGCTACAATGTAGCCACAGCTGCCCTATGACACACTGAAAGAAGCTAGTCACAAGGTAAAAGTAGATAACTATCATCTTAAAAGCTCTCAATACAAATGCTATTTAACAAACACTGACACAGCCTATATCATTTTCCTACAGCTAGAACTAGCTAGCTTTGCTGCTCATTCCCCCCCCCCCCCCCGCAAACAACTATAGACATTTCTCCACAACCACATGAGTAAAAAAAGAGTTCATTAAATTGTGTTTGTATAGTTTAAATTGCACAAATAAATAAGTCTAAGGCTTAAAAAATATGGATGTGAACTTTTATTGACAGTTGTTGCGATAAAAAAGTTGGGTTTTTTTTTACCTTCACAGTAGTTTTCCCCAGAACTGTATCATTCTGTCCTTCATTCTGACTCACACATAGAACCTTCATATTGTGCGCACCATCCACATGGAAAGTCAGCTCCTGATTGAAATAACAGAAAAACCATTAACACCAAACAGACACCTAACCAGCTCTATCATTGTGTCCTGTTAGAACCAAGGGGGTAAGCTACGCCTGTCAAAATTGTAGCTTATCGTCATGACAACTCTGAGGGGGGGGGGGACTTTTTTCATAACTCAGCTTTTGTAAATGTGAGTACTTAGGGGCATATCCATTTGGTTCACAGGTAGCAGATGAGCCAACAGTGCTAGCTTGCTTCAGGGAAGGCCTCAACCTTGGCCTCATGTTAAGTGTTAAAGCCTAGAAGTCAGAGGTAGCAGAGGTCACTCAACCATGGTTTACTGGCTAACCCCCAAATTCCACTACCTCCACTCCGGTCCGCCCCCGCCTTCCGCAGCCGCTCACTTCCGAACTCAATTTTTACTGGTACCCGGTCTACAACGGCTCCGCTCCGGTGCGGAGACCTGAGGTGCGCAAACAAGCATGTGCGGGATTTTCGAGATCTTGCGATACAGTCCGAGCAATAAACGCGGAAGTTAGATCCAAACACCCGTTGTGTGAGAGAAGCATCGGCATGAACTGTTTAATCTGCCCATCATTTGTGTTGAGATATCAGCAGTGTTTGGATCAACAAAGGGTGACTACTTTGATAGTGGAAACTGTATTTATGGCTTACTTTTGTGCATTTAAAGTTCAGCCGCCATTGATAGTTGTTAAAAGTTGTTAAACCTGTGCTTATGAAACAAAAAACGCCTTTTGTTTATCGATTTATTGTGAAATAACGGAAGTTGTGCTTGCTCCTTTTCCTGTTCGGCGGTTGTGATTTCTGTCCATTTACTGCAGAGGTGCTCCGGCGTCCGGCGAAAATAGGATCGATTCTATTTTTGCCGGACGCCGGAACAGAGGGCGGCGCACTGCGCCGCACTGCCGGAGCACGGTCGCAGTAGTGGAATTGCTCTGATTGACTACAACAGGACCGATTTTTCTCCGGCGTTCGTGTCGGAGCGGAGCGGAGCGGAGGTAGTGGAATTTGGGGGTAAGAGCGCCCAACAAAATCCATTAGCTTTGGTTAGCTTGTAGCTACATCGGCTCAGAGATTGATGGGCGTCAATCATCTGCCCCGATCCTAGCAACCCCACTCTCAGCTCCATTTTGTTATTTTCCGGGAGTGGCAAGATGCATGACGTGGAAAAACTGGCGGTGGTGGGAACTGCCCATTGGGGTTCGATTCAGCTTTTCAGAATCCTACGGGTAACAGCGCAGAGGGGTTGGCTATCTTATTTATACAGTCAATGATTTTAACACATTTCACTATTTCCAACTAGATTTTTACTGATGTTGTTTTTAGAGACGCACCAACCTGGTCCCAGTGTGGGTTGAGGCTGTTGACTGAAGGGTGTGATTGTGTTTCGTCATCAAAAAAGTCATACCCATCCACCTCAACACACACATAAACAGCTGAAATAAAACAAAAGTCATATTTACAAATAAGTAAGCATCTAATATATCTTCTAAATTGTGTTTCTAGTTTACATTTCTCTACTTCCTTTGTAAATGTTTAGATACATACAGGCTGGCTGCTGTAGTCCAAGAGCTGAGTGGATTGCAACACTGAACGTCCCACATAATAAGCCCCTGTTCTCTCCTTGTGTGAGAAAAAAAATATTTAACAAAAGACCAGAAGTATATCAATATTACAATAAAAATAAAAAATAAAAAACACGACAAATATTAAAGAGTTTGCAGAACAACTTTTTAAACTTTCTTCACGATTGGAAACTGTTCTTTGTGCCTCAAAATAGTATAAATCTATAAATCTTTGTTGGGGCTCACAATGTCGAACATAAACACAACCCCATTGCAAAGCCCTACAATTTAAAGACAGGTTTGCCCCATCCACTTAGGCAGGACATGAATTTCAATTGAGCTATGTGCTGATTGGCTGATTTACACCAATGATGCTGCCTGAAATTTGTATCTCTGTGTACAGCTGTGTTCAGTGTCCGGATAGGCAAGCTATGGATCTACCTGGTATTCATTCAAAGTCTGGATATTCCCAGCATATTTTGGAATGTTAAATTAATGTTCTGACTTTCTTCTTTGGTGTTGTCCTCTCATCCAACAAGGAGATAAACAGCAGCTTGAGCTAGCGTTAGCTGTAGCTCAGGCTAGTAATAACAGCAGAGGTGGAAAGTAACAAATTACATTTACTCACATTACTGTAATTGAGTAGCTTTTTTGTATATTTATACTTTTGAAGTTGTTTTTAAAATCTGTACTTTTACTTTTACTTGAGTATGTTTTTAAAAAAGAATTGTAATTCGCTACATTTTAAATCATATCCGTTACTGAGTAACAATAAATTATAGGCTTAATAAATTAAAAATACTGCGTGTAGCAGCGTCGAAACAGAAAGAGACACCTGCATGAGCGCCGCGTCTAAACCGTGGGGATGTGGGTGTTGGCAAGGCCGGATGAACCATATGGGCAACTGGGCAATTGCCCAGGGCCCACGAACTCTAAAGGGCCCAGGGCATCAAGGGCACGAGCAAAATACTATATATGTAATCTCCCGCTTTATATTAAATTAGGGTGACCTTACGTCCTGTTTTCCCCGGACATGTCCGCTTTTCACTCTCTGTCCGGGGCGTCCGGACTGGGGGTTCTTGTACTGATGAAAATGTCCGGCTTTTGCAGGAGCAGGGATCGAATTATGGGGGAGCTGTATAGCCTACACATCCAGGGGAGCCGGAAAAGTTTTCTATCTATATTACATCATTTATGGACTCTTTTGAGCAGAGAGCACAAAGAGCGATGATCGTTGGTGCGCAGGGCTCCAGGCTGCTGCTTCCAGCGCACGGTCCATTCTCAAAGTGGCGCAACCAAAAAACTATAATTAACACACGATCATTCATGTCCGCACATGTTCTCTATTTTCTGTCTTATTTGTGCCTGAAGCGCTCTGCCACTGCGGAGCTCATCACCAGTGCTGCGGTGATTTCACCTCACTGACGCAGCATCGAAACACGCTCTCCGCTTTGCGGTCAGGAGATCCCTTTGATCTGCTCAAAAGTAACTGATGAGGTGAAAAAGTAAGAATCCAGGCAACAGATTTTCTGGAGAGTTTAGAGGAGATGCAGGAAGATGAGAGACAGACAGGACAGGAAAATAGTTAAATAAAAACAAGAAAACAAAACAAATTGTTGAAAAGTAAAATGTAGTTAGATTTATCTCCACTACACGTTTTTACCTGTATAAAACAATAAGTTACACACATGTAATAATTATACATCTGATACAATTCAGATCACCTTCAACACTCAGTCACACACCCAGGGCCGTTTCAAGGCATTTTGGGGGCCAAGGAAAAAGCACTAAAGCAGAAAAATGAGATTTTGCAATAAATGTGCTAAATATTTACATATGAATTGTTTTAGAGCACTTTTATTGGCAGAATATGATATTAATTTAGTTCTCACAAAAAATGGGTCCCAACGTGATTTGTGTGGCGTTGCCATAATGTAACGTCATAGGCACAGATCCCCTGCCCTCTTTTTTGGAAATGGAAATATGGTCACCCTATATTAAACAAACTGTCCACCCGGGCTTTTGCGCTGCACAGAGACGCTTCGTTGCCTATGACTTTGAACGTCAGTTGAGAGTCAGTCTCATGCAGACTGACCAATGAAGAGATGGCCTCAAGTTAAGACCCTCTCCTCATTGGTCAGTCCACACAAGGTGGGTCAAAGTTTACCCTGAGCGGGTTATGTGATGTCAGGCATTCAAGTATTGAGTATATTTACTACATATTACAGTAAAATATTCTGTATGTGACCATATTATGGTGATCCTTGGGTTGTGATGATGGTGCCCTTTAATATTGTTGCCCAGGGTACAACAAAGTGTTAATCTGGCCCAGGGTGTAGGACATTTTGCTCAAAAACATCAGTTCAGTCCCTGTCATCCACTCACTACATGCACCTTCGCGCACCGGTGTTACATAATCAGAATTCTGCTCGGTTCGGTAGCCGGAATCGGTTCTGTGTTCTAAACGTGTTTCTCTACCGCTCCGCACGGCAGCAGCAAAATAATGCTTAGCGCTCACAACAAGCGGATTATTGGCGCTTTGCTCATGAAACAAAAGACCTGCAGGCCTCTGTGAGTTAAAACATCCTGATACTGTTCAGGTGTAAAAATTGTGCTCCATCCCTGTGTTTGAACTCAGAAGTTGCTTCTTGATGCCACAGATATGTGATGATTTAGCTTGTTTCTTCATTTTACTCCAGAATAAGAGATTAAATTATTACAAAAGCAGTTCAGTGTAGTTAAATTAGTCATGACGTGTGTGTGTGTGTGTGTGTGTGTGTGTGTGTGTGTGTGTGTGTGTGTGTGTGTGTGTGTGTGTGTGGAGACACCATTAGTTCTAGTAACACCTGGGCTCCCAAGGCCTATTCTGACAGGATGGACGTTACGGGACCCTTAAGGATTCCAGTTGGATGATTGGAGGATTATTTAGGAGGATTGGAATGAACAAACTGATTTCAGTGGTGAAGGGTTAAATGAGTGAGCGAACCCACCACCAAGGATGAACTCAGCTAACTTTAAAAATCAGCTGCTCTAAATAAGCATGAAGGTCAGAGAGGAGCTCTAGGATGGACACGAATAAAGGAACTGTAATGTAGAGGTAAAGTAGGGCAGGGCCAACGTTAGCAGCTGTCATACGGTCCATCTGAAATGTTTGACTTTCATTTAGCTTGTTATGTGACAGGTAAGAGCACAGTCTCATGTTAGAGTTTTGTCATGAGAACATTGAGATACCTCACATGCTGATGGGAGCTACA